TAGTGAATTTAGTGAGAGGGCAAACCATACTATTCGCGCCGGGGTGGGGGGTGGGGGGGGTGGGGGTGGGGTGGGGTGTCAAATGTAGTTGAGATTTAGGTCTTCGATGTGTGCTCAATCATAAATCTATTTCTTCGAGTGAAGACAAGAGAAATCTCTTCATGATAAGTGATTTTTCTCCGAGTCCGAGACGAAGTTCTTCGGGACTTAGAGAAAAAATCACTAACGGTTGAATCAACTTGAATCGGATTTGAATCACAAGTCCCTCTAACCAGAAGTAGCACTTTGGCATAAGTGTGAACTGGTCGAACAAATCACTTGTCGCCATTGAGCGCCACTGATTTCATCTCTACTTGCATTACTTTTAGTATTTTTCCTCTCTTTGCATTTTCCTTTGCCTCGAGTTTCCCCTCGGTGTTCAGTTCTTCGCAACTGATATGCATTCATCTCTACGATGTTCATCATGTTTACTCTAGAGTTATATCTTGCAACTCCCGTATGCTTGTATGTTTGCTAGTTGCATTTTACTCTAGTAAAATATGTCTCTATCATCACTAATGATAGTTTTATCTCTGTAGTTCTACCTAGTTTTCTCACTAAGTTTGTTAATGCTGTAATTTAATCTCTGCATTGTTTCTACCTTAGAGTAATTATTCCGTTGTGCTTCTTCGAGAGAATTCATTTCTTTCGAAGAATTTTTAAAATCTTCTACTTATCCCCCCTCGAGTCAATTTCTAATCCTACAGTAAGCTTATAGTTGGATCAGATATCGACCAAAAGGGGTTTGAATCGGAGATTCAACAAATACATTGAAAAAGCAAGTTTTGAGAAGTAGAACAGTGTATGCAGAACAATTACTAAACATAATAGAGAGTAGGCAAAAAGTGGACGAGCAGATAATGTATAGAAACAACTAGAAAAACAAAGGTAAATCTAAGTAGTTGTGCATACGAGGGTAAAGATAACATAGGCATTAGAATGACTAAGTTCTCAGAAACGTCTCCACAACATCGATAGAGAAAATACCGCAGAAATTTGGCCCGAGCGCCCCGCAGCCCATGCGTCATGGACCCGTGAGGAAATCGGCGTGGTGTGGAGCGCCTGGGAAGATTGGGCGATGGGGAGGGCGTCAGGTAGGCATCGACACGAGACTATAACACACCGAGAATCTAGCTACAATAATTACACACTAATGGTGCCATGTCATCGCAAAAAGTTTGCTAAACCTCACTTTGATCCAAACTAAGTTCAAATTCAAAATTTAAAATAAAGTCAAAATTAATATTTCTTCAAACTGCAAAACTAAAATGTTCACAATATTCTATAAACCCCCTAATTATTGTCATGTTGAACCCAACAATTTTTGAACCACCAATTAATCCCTAAGGATTTATAAAGTGGTCCATTAGTAAATATTTTGGCCTTTTCAGAATAAAAAAATAATTAAACATTTTCAAATGGCCCGGAACTTTTTGTGCAACTCTAGTAGGTTACAAAGTAATTATGTACAAAGTTTGAGTTGAAACTTAAATCATTTTGATAGATAGAGAAAATACAAAACAGAGGGAAACTACAAAAACAGGAAATGAAAATGGAAAAGGTCCTAAAACTATTGGGCCACTAAGTCATAAGTGGCCACAATGCCTGGCCCATTTATCCCAGCCCACCACTACCTCTGTTGTCTTCTATCTATGTTCACAGGGGACTGGGTGGCTGCTACCTCTTGAGCACTGCGTTGGATTTCCCCGAAGAGGAGAGGATGATGCAGCAAAGTAGCGTAAGTATTTTCCTCAGTTTTTGAGAACCAAGGTAACAATCCAGTAGGAGACCACACATAAGTCCCTCGTACCTACACAAAATGATAGCTACTCACAACCAACGCGATTAGGGTTGTCAATCCCTTCACAATCACTTACGAGAGTGAGATCTGATAGAGATGATAAATAATATTTTTGGTATTTTTGATAGATAGATGCAAAGTAAAAAAGTAAAAGGCAAAGTAAAAACAAAGCAAGTAAATAAAGCGATAGAGATTGATATGATGAGAATAGACCCGGGGGCCATAGGTTTCACTAGTGGCTTCTCTCAAGAGCATAGATATTCTACGGTGGGTGAACAAATTACTGTTGAACAATTGACAGAATTGAGCATAGTTATGAGTATATCTAGGCAATGATCATGTATATAGGCATCATGTCCAAGACAAGTAGATCAAAACGATTCTGCATCTACTACTATTACTCCACTCATCAACCACTATCCAGCATGCATCTAGAGTATTAAGTTAAAAACAGAGTAACGCCTTAAGCAAGATGACATGATGTAGAGGGATAAATTCATGCAATATGATAAAAACCCCATCTTGTTATCCTCGATGGCAACAATACAATACGTGCCTTGCAACCCTTTCTGTCACTGGGTAAGGACACCGCAAGATTGAACCCAAAGCTAAATACTTCTCCCATTGCAAGAACTACCAATCTAGTTGGCCAAACCAAAAAAGGATAATTCGAAGAGACTTGCAAAGATAACTCAATCATACATAAAAGAATTCAGAGAGAATCAAATATTTTCCATAGATAATATTGGATCATAAACCCACAATTCATTGGTCTCAACAAACACACTGCAAAAAGAAGATTACATCGAATAGATCTCCACAAGAGAGGGGGAGAACATTGTATTGAGATCCGAAAAGAGAGAAGAAGCCATCTAGCTATGGACCCGAAGGTCTGAAGTAAACTACTCACACTTCATCGGAGGGGCTATGGTGTTGATGTAGAAGCCCTCCGTGGTGGATGCCCCCTCCGGCGGAGCTCCGGAACAGGCCCCAAGATGGGATCTCGTGGATACAGAAGGTTGCGGTGGTAGAATTAGGTTTTTGGCTCCTGTTCTGATCGTTTGGGGATACGTAGGTATATATAGGAGGAAGGAGTACGTCGGTGGAGTGTCAGGGGGCCCACGAGGTAGGGGGCGCGCCCAGGGGGGCGCCCTCCACCCTCGTGACCGCCTCTGGCACTTCTTGGAGTAGGGTCCAAGTCTCCTGGATCACGTTCGGTGAGAAAATCACGTTCCCGAAGGTTTTATTCCGTTTGGACTCCGTTTGATATTCCGTTTCTTCGAAACACTAAAATAGGCAAAAAACAACAATTCTGGGTTGGGCCTCCGGTTAATAGGTTAGTCCCAAAAATAATATAAAAGTGGGAAATAAAGCCCAATATAGTCCAAAACAGTAGATAAAGTAGCATGGAGCAATCAAAAATTATAGATACGTTGGGGACCTATCAGGCATCCCCAAGCTTAATTCCTGCTCGTCCTCGAGTAGGTAAATGATAAAAAAGAATTTTTGATGCGGAGTGATACTTTGACATAATTTCAATGTAAATCTTCTTAATTGTGATATGAATATTCAGATCCAAAAGATTCAAGACAAAAGTTCGTATTGACATAAAAATAATAATACTTCAAGCATACTAATAAAAGCAATCATGTCTTGTCAAAATAACATGGCCAAAGAAAGT